TATATTGAAATTATTTCGTTACCCCCACCGACGCAGCCCCAAACAGTTTCTTTAGAAACTATCAGCTTTTATTCGTTTCTACAGATACTCAGTGTGGTTTAAGCGATTAACGATAAAAACACCCCTCTGAATTTCATTTGGTAGGTTTGACTATAACTCATTTTGAATGTTACATACCGTAAACAGAAGAAAATTTAGTAAGAGTGCAGGGAGGTTGAAAACTTATCAACAGTAAAATGCAGTAGCATTGTAGCAAGCAGAGGTTTTAATCACCGAACTGGGTTTATCTTTCGTTCTTTTTGTCCTGAGATGGGCTTTATCAAGCTAAAAAATAGATAGATAGATACTTTATTGGTAAAGACTTCGCAGCATGAACTGAATTGCGTATTCACAGATATAAAATAGAAATTACTATGTACATGTATACATCTTATTATTAAAAAAAATACATCGTTCATCGTAAGGGAGAATTTGTAAATTATTTGTGGCTTTTGACTATTCTAGCCGAAGCAATAAAAAAACTGTTTTAAGTCTATTGGTCTTGCAAAGTGGCAAAGCAAAGGTACGCTCGTGCCTTAACCTATGAGAGCTTACATAGCGGGGTGGTAAAAGTTTACTTAATTTGTGCTGAGGATCGTTCATTATATCGCGAAATGTTGCGTATTTTCATGGTGGTCTTTCACAGTTGGAAGATTCATGATAGCTAAGGCGTGTTCGTATTAATAATTTACAAAATAAAAATATGAACTCAATAAGGATTGGAGTTAAATCATTGTTTGCTCCTGTTTCCTTTATGTAACACTCGACCTTAGTTCCTGTAGCCACGTGCTTCACGGTCCAAAGTTGTATTTTTGCGGAGTTGTCGGTTTCTGCGGACCGTAATTTTGAATTAATTAGCGTTACTCCGCACACGAGAAAAAAGTTTCTGAACTAGCAACATTTCGCCAACATTTGGCTCGCGGTTTAGTTAAAGACTTAAGGTCGGCACACACGAAGGGACTAGTCCCTGCGACTAGTCACAGCGACCAGTTTCATGCGACTAGTGCCTTCTTGTGAACCACACATTTCTGTGGTCACAGGGACCAAAATTTGGTCCCTGCGACTGGTCGCACGAATTCAAACTGGTTTGAATAATTCGTGCGACCAGTCGCAGGGACTTGTCGCATGAAACTAATGTTTGTCTCTTCGTGTGAACTGTTTGTGCGACCAGTCCCTGCGACTAAACGGTAAATAAGCCAATCACGGGTCAGTATGATTTTTCAACATTGCAGTTTCTATTAATTTTCCCTCAATTCTAGATTTACATAGATCGGTAAAAGATGAGCGATATAATATCCCGACGTTTCGGCGACTTCATGACGCCATTATCAAGGGTACAAATCAAAATAAAATTAACAAATGCGAGTTCAAGAGTTACAACCAATCGGTATAGGGGAGGTAGCTACACAAATACTTTGGCACGGATAGAATCCGTTTGCACGTTCAAACTTAATTTGTTAATTGTTTGATGTAAAGCATCTCGTTGACAAGACAATCGAATTTGTTCATGCACTTCTTGAGAACTTTGAAACAGCTAAGAAGGTCCTCAGGGACAGCACCTGCGTGGTCGTTGTCGTAGTGCTTGCGTACTGAAGATGGCGTGCTCTTATGGCTATCGTTCGTTTTCACCTGTCTATGTATTACAAAATCTCTGTTAATACGAATTCTAGATCTCTACAACTGAAGAATGAAAAACTATGTCTAGTTTTGTAAACATATACAGATGTCTTGGAGCCGTTTTGATGGCATTTTTACCCGATTTGACTCTGTGTCTGTTAAAAATAAAATAAAAAGAGAAAAACGGAACATGTAAAAGCATGAATAATTCGACTGAATTAGTGTAGTTCATTTGCGTTGATGTTTAATAGTGCTACAATGAAAAGTTACCAAATTTTCATTGTTTTCGTGTAACACCCCGGACTAAGAAACATCTTTTGCCTCTTAATTTTCCTATGCTCTTGTGCAATTGAGTGCCCTCGTGTGAACGCCTTGAGGGACTTGACCCTGCTACCGGTCCCCTCGTGTAAACCCTTTAAAGACTTGTCGCCGTGACTAGTTCCCTCGTGTGTGCCGACCTTTATATTTAAACAAAGATCTCTTACGTGAAGTAATTGCAGCCTCCTTTTCAACGAAATGGAAACAGAGAAACCCTGAGACACGCTTTGTAAACAATCATTATCAGGAGGTGTTGACTATCTTGCCAAGTTATAACGCTATTAGGGACCTTAAGATCGAGGTTTTTAGGCATTTCCCGCGAACGTCAAGAAGTCACGCCTTGCCGTAAGGTTTGCAGTTTCAGGTTCACGTTTTATACGGTTGGATCACGCTCTAGAAGTAAGTGATTTACCGCAAGATTTTTTGCACCCTAAAACATCAAACTCCCACGTTCGAGAGGAAAGACTACTTTTAAAAACTCTTTCGCTTATTAATTATCGAATTCCTTTTCATAGAAACGCAATTTTGAAGACGATTTCTCAGCTAAAATAGAAGTGAACGAATGAATGAAAACAAACATGACGGCCGGCTATTTGTTGTTAAAACTGTTTAGCCAGTTGGATTACTTTTAGGTTAAACAAAAGCCAATCTCCGATGATATGTGAATGTATGAATGCTTATTTTGTTCCTTAATGGATTTGTTCAGATGACCAAGCATACAAAGCTGCTTCAAGAACTAAGAAATCGAGATCTTTATTGCTCGACAACGAACCTTCAGAACTATTATCGTCCAGCTGCATAATGTCCCGCAGATCTTTGTAGTCTTGCCTAATTTAAAGAGGATCCGCAAAGATTTAGTGTTCTGCTCTCAATAAGTAATCAATAAAATCCAACAAACACATTAATCCACATATCACCTTCGGGCAGCAGCCATCTTGTTTTTGTACTATTTTCTCATAATTCATCAGGGCTACCACCCGCGAATCTTAGGTCCCAAATATGGGAAGACGGCTAAAGCGAAACCGCTAACGGCAAACCGCAGTTTGCCGTTTGCGGTGAGATGGCCAAACCTCAATCTTAAGGTCTCTATTATGGGAGCAATGCAACAATTTCAGGACTGCAATCCGTTTTTGTGGTATAGCAATATAGACGGTAAGATGATCTTATATTAAATAAGCTGTAGATTGGATGTAAAATGCGAAACAATCGAATTTCCGTGTGAATGTGTATATTTTCCAATAACTGACGGTATCGTCAAATCAGCTCATTTTATCCAACTTTAAAATTTGATTAAATCGCACTGAATCATTTCCCCAAAAAATCCTTTGGAGATCGAAAAGAACCACACTTCACCTTCCAA